AAGCCCCTAACATTTGGTATTTACCAGTCCTGTCTAAAAAGCAATAATCATCAATATTGTTCTCATATTCCTAAAAGGAATACTGGGGTCAAGACCAGGAGACTGAGTAGCCATAGCAACTAGTCATAGCTCGAAACATGGCAAAATTAACATGGACAGAATCAATGTCCACACATCCACCTTAGCACAGCTTTGTCCTTGACAGTGACATTTACTCACGTTAAATTATCACTTAGCATCAAGACAAAGCTAGGTAAGCCTTTGCCAAGAATTGTCTTAAATGAGTGCTTAACTGTGGTACCTGCCCAGATGATGGCATATAGCATAGACACCGCAGACAGACATGCCTCAACTGTGTCAAGAGGGGAAAAGTTCAAGGACACATGGTTAGCATTTTCTAGCTGCAAAAAATACTTGCTCACTACATATGCCTCTCTGTAAGACAAAAATGTTAGCAAAGTGCTTCCAGAAAGATGGAAGAGGCCATTATTTTCCAATGTAGGTACAGTATCCATTGTTTTACAATTAAAAAGACGTGCTCTAAACCCTGGCATTTTACAATTGAGCAGAGAAAGTAAAAATGTCACAGGAAGGAAAACAAGGGCTTTCTGGCCTGGGTTCTGAATACACTTGTTTAATAAGATGAGTAATTAATGTAATTTTCTGCCCTTCCTTTTAAGTGATACCCCTCAAGTAGTTAAGTATCACATAATAGACCCTGCACTATGTTTGGCAAAGGAGTATTAGAAGATGGAACTTCCTCTCCTGGAGGCCACAGCAGGGGCAAGGTTAAAATTTTTTTAAACTTTCTTTCCTGACCCATCCAACGCTTCAGTGAAGCTTCCAGCACCCTTTGGCAGCTAATTTCAAAGACCAGTTCTTAGCCCTCTCCAAACCATCAGTGTATTTATCTACTCCTTACTACTTAACAAAGGGAGCAACTTCTACTCCCAACCTAACTTCTGGAAGCCAATTTCATGTCAAATAGACTGCCATACATTGTCAACACAAGTCCTACCAGGACTGCCAATTCAATGTCTTATCCTCATTACACTCCAGCTACTGGCCCAAAGCTGGCAGTCAAACATCCTTGGTGCGCTGAGGCGGGAGAGAGGAGGAAGCCATTAGCATCCTGCATTGTGTCTGCCCCTTGGTGGTCAGTGCACGTCATAGCTGCCTTTCTACCACTTGGTTCATTTGCGTATTAGGATTTTATTATATAGGATTTTGGTGGCAACGGCTGAACAGGTTAAAATAAAGTTACCAGCTGCCTAACAGGACTTAGAAATTGTTTCCTAAGGGAAATTTTCTTTTAAACTTTTAGCTTTCAAAACTTGTAACGTTTTTTTTTGTTTTGTTTTGCTTTTTAATATATTTTGAGTTTTTACAGAGAGGAAAGGAGATAAAGTTAGAAACATCGATGAGAGAGAAACATCGATCAGCTGCTTCCTGCACACTCCCCACTGGGGATGTGCCCGCAACCAAGGTACATGCCCTTGACCGGAATCGAACCTGGGACCTTCAGTCCGCAGGCCGACGCTCTATCCACTGAGCCAAACCGGTTTTGGCTATAACAATGTTTTTTATACTGATCACTTACCTCCATTTCCTTATCCAAATGACCCTCACCCCCACCCCAACAAAAGGGTAGCATTCAGCAACTCCCCCCCCCCCCCCACCCCGCTCTGAAGTTTAGGGGCTTGTCAGCAAGGGAAAATGACTTGAGGAAAGCCACCTTCGGATACTTTTCTGGAAGGCTTGATTTTGCTCTATAAAGTGAACTCATGCGTGGGTAGGGGCAGGCAGTGGTCCAGGTCTTCCTGCTGCCGGCCAGGGCCTTCCTTCGCTCCGCGCCACCCACTGATGGTCAGCGGATGTCATAGTGAGCAACTGAACTCCCAGTCCAACTCCCAAGCGGACACTCTGCATATTAATCTTTTATATAGAGCTTTTTTAAAAAAATGTTTATTGATTTGGGAGAGGAAAAGAGAGAGAAACATCAATGATGAGAATCATTGATTGGCTGCCTCCTACACGCCCCCTACTGGGGATTTAGCCTGCAACCCAGGCATGTGCCCTTGACTAGAATTGAACCCGGGACACTTCAGTCTGCAGGCCAACGCTCTATCCACTGAGCCAAACCTGCTAGGGCTTAGGACAGCCGTGGGCAAACTACGGCCCGCAGGCCGGATCCGGCCCATTTGAAATGAATAAAACTAAAAAAAAAAAGACCGTACCCTTTTATGTAATGATGTTTACTTTGAATTTATATTAGTTCACACAAACACTCCATCCATGCTTTTGTTCCGGCCCTCCGGTCCAGTTTAAGAACCCATTGTGGCCCTCGAGTCAAAAAGTTTGCCCACCCCTGGCTTAGGACCTCTTTAAGTGATGGCCACAAGCAAAGTATCAATGTTTCCAGAGTTTTCACTTCCTTGTACATATACTGAGTAAAGGCACTAATGGCCATATTCTAAGACTTTAGTAAAATAATCATACACAGTGCTTTAATGTAGGTCAGATTAAAGATTAAAAGTGATATTCTACACACCTATTTGATATTGGTCTGGAAACATGCTTTGTGTTCCAGATAATTGAAGAGAAAGAACTGGGATACTAAGTGATGTCTAAATAATGTATTATGAATTTCTGCAATTAGGGCAAAGTTGCATGAAAAAAATTAAACAGCTATACTAAATTTGTCCAATTTCCAATCTCAGAACCTAAAAATATGCTAGTTGAATTCTTTTGAGGTATCCAATGAGTCTTAAAATAGGATGGAATTTGTGGACTATAAAATCGTTCTTTAACACTATTAGACTGCTTCAATAAAAATATACTCCAACCCAGTTTTTTCTTCAGCTACTTTAATTATAAAAATCTTTCATGTCCCCTTACCCCCAGAAAACGGAAAACCAGAAGGCAACAGTCCAGTACAAAAATATACAACTGGAAGATATCACCAACTAGATCTGGCAACTAAATCATGTTCAGAATTCTGAAAAATAAAAGCACATTTAGACAAAGCACTAGACCAGCATTATAACCGGGAATTTTATCACCTGGGAGAAATCTTCAAAAAAACAGTGTGAAAAACTGGGCCAATGAGCCTGGAATCGGGCTGTGTATACTTTGAAAAACTTATATGATCAATGCTACTCCTGATTAAAAAACAACGTTCTACTAATATGAACCATAGCTCTATAATAAAAAGCAACCAGGACTTCCCACCCGGACATGGGTATATCTAACCACTTTGGTAGGGATGCCATTTACTGATCACACCATCTTTTCAAAATACATTAACAGTAGATAAACTTTATCAAAATTATCTTTGTCTTCACCTTTCTGCTTAAGACATGGAGTTCAGCAGTAACCCACAATAAGCTGAGAACCAGATTGTTACATATTACTGAAAGCATAAAAACCAACTATAACCCTGTTCCCTTAAATGATCACCATTAGTGACCTCTAGTGAACATCTGTAGTTATTACACCACAGGTCAGTTTTAGTGACTGCTTTATCATATGACTAAGGACACATGATCCAACTGGCTAATGGGACTTGTAATTTTTTAAATTATAGTAACGTTAGAACTTTTGAAAGCCACAATCTAAATGTACAATGTAAGAGTTTAATACTTTCTACCTACCGTATCTTTTGCAAGCCATAAAAATTGTGCTAGGGCTTTTAAGTGATTGAAAATTTGGGTGACTCCAAGATTGACTATATCGAAATTTCTCCATTAGCCACATTATACCCATAATTTAACCTTTTTACAGAAACCCTTCTAACTTAAGACTGTGGAAGTTGTATACTGCCCAAAAGGCCATATAAATGCCTATTTATAACAGCAGTGTAATTAGTGACACACCGTATTACTTCCATGACTTTTTAGCTATCTTGCTTTGTTCCTAACAGGAACTGTATTTAGGCTATGAGGAAATGCCAAGACAATAAGGCCCAGAGCTTCCAGCAGATCAGGTAATCTTAAATGTCTTCTGTAACAAGGCTCATACTGAACCTGTGATACCAATTCTCCCTTGTGACACACAGACTCTCCCCCCTGATATTTGCATGAAAGGCTAAGGACCAAGGGAAATTACTGTTTAGGACCTAATCTTACAAGATATCCTCATAGAGCGCTGGCTGGTGTGGGTCATTGGTTGAGCATCATTCTGCCCGTTTGAATCCTGGTCAAGGAACATGTCCAGGTTTGTGGGCTCCATAGGTGGACAATTGATATTTGTTTCTCCCTTCCTCTCTAAAAATCAATTAAAATTCTCTTACAGTATATGTATATAGCCTTATAGATTCAACTCAATGCAATGACTTCTGTCATATTAAAGTCAGGATAATCCAAAACTGTCATAAAATAGCACATTTAAGGAAACTAAGCCACAAGACTGTTGCATTATGGTTTAATCTAATTGCACAAAATTTAGAAATTACAGCTCCTCTATTTCTAAGAGGAAGGTTATGCATGCCTCCGTATTCAAGTCTGCACTGTTACATTTGAACCATATAGTGAATTTTACATTATAATGGATCAATTTAGAATTCCCATGCAACACCTCAAATCATGTAAAATAAAATGGAAGCAATTTTTAAAGCTTTGTGGAAAGTTCTCATGCTAATGCTAAAAGCCTTTTTAGTGATTGGGGCAACTTTGGGTTATAATGTACTAGGTTGCTAACCTTTAAAATGTTGGTCACTGAGTAAGTCCAAAGAAAAAACTTAAGAACGATCACTTAGGTGACAACCAAAAATTCCCTTCACTTCAAAAGCCTCAATTTTGTTTCTTGTAAGATTTGTGTAACCAACTGCTTTCCATGGGACAAGAACTGTGGTAATAGTGGGTTTGACTATTACAGTTATGCTATTATTTATTAATTCAAAAGCACTTTACAAGAAAATATAAGTATGGCTTCCAATAGGAATGTTATACCTGAACTTGATACCAAGCTCACACATTTTAGTTTTGCAAGGAAAAACAGGCTTTCAGGTTAAACAACAATTTGTAACCAAAACTTTAATCCCAAGGATTCTCACAAAACATATTACAAATGACAGCATGAAAAAAAATTTTGCACAGTAACTCAAAGTTCAGCTCTACAATGTACCCTTAAACTGGCAGGAAACTGGTATCTTGAATAGTCTCAAATTTCCAAGTGAAGAATGTTACCAATAGCCATGTATTCATATATAGCAATCACTTAAGAAATTTATGACCGAAAGCAAAGGTAAACTAACTTTCTTAAAACTTTAACTTAGATTCTACACTAACTGGACATCTGCCCAGTGTTGGATTTTTTTAAATCCTCTAATCTAAGTTTAAGAGTGCAGCTTTAATTTTTAGCTGCTGGCTTGTGTTCACAGCAGCTTTTGAAGACTGCCTGTCCAACTACAGCTGCATATTAGGTCACAGCTATGGAAAGTCTTAAATCCAAATTTTGCCAGTTTTGTTTCCACAATATTCAACATCACACGTTAGCTGGGCAGAAGTTAAGAGGTTTATTATCAGTCTACGCAAGACTGAAGTTCAAAGCAAACTCAATTTTGCTTAAGGGAACATTGTAAAGTAACAATTCTTGATATTACATGCCTCATATGATCCATATCAAACCATAGAGAATTACATCTTTGTGTGTCACTGTTCCAAGACAAACAAATGTGAACAGCTACATCTTAAAAATGCACCAAGCTTATGAAGTCTCAAACAAAACTTGAATTTTCTGTACATACTCCTGTCAAATGAAGTTATTTCCTGTACACCACTCATCTTGCAAACTGGTCTTCTATTTCCTTTCATTTGACCTAGATCGGCTAAAAAAAAACAAAAGCAGAAAAACAGGTTCCATCTGTAACTTGGTGACAGTGACAAAACATCAAAAAATTTTTATGGTAGAAAATTATAAAATTATATAAAAATGGCTTAGCTAGACCTATTTGTGGTTTTAGTATGTTACACATACAAGGTCTTAACTAGCTCATCATTAAAGATCTTACCTCCGAGACCTAGAGAAGGATCGAGACGGCTTATGATTTCTCTCCCGAGACAGTGATCTCTCTCTTCTCCTATCTCTGGAAAGGGACCTACAGACAGAGGCAAAAGAAAAATGAGACCATTCAGGACTATAAACAATAAATATTTCCAGTAAGTCTTTGAAAACAAAGAGTTAATTCAACTAAGTTAATACTGGTTCCATGTAACACTTTATCCATTACTAAGAATTCATTACAAGATCCATTACCATTAACCAAGTCATTTAGAAAACAGCATACGAATAGCAAACAACACTGCCATTTCTGAGACTGTGGCCGAAAAAGTCATTTACCTGCTCCGGCTACGGGAGAAGCTTCTCCGTCTTGGAGATCTAAAAGCAGAAACAAGAAGTTAGGCTAACTGTCAACTAGTATTTATGGCGTGAGGCATTTCCCAACTTTTCAATCTCACTGTTGGGCCCAGTGAATGTGCCGAAGAACTGGCACCCATCGTCCAAAAAAAAAAAAAGAAAAGAAAAAAAAAGGCACAGAAGGATTAAGGAACCAAAAGCTCAAGTGAAAAGCAGGTATTCCAACCATGGACTCACTTTAACAAAGAATGCTTCACAGCAGATCTGTCCAATGCAAAACTTCATGTCAAACTAACTTCACTACCCAAAACACCACACCAAAATGTAGTCCCACAAGTAGTTCCAAAAACAGTACCATAAACCAGTATTTGGAACCCATGCAAACCTATAAGTCCATGACAAGACTTAGGTACCAGGTGGATAGTGTAATTGTGAAAACGCGCTAGGTGTAAATATTGATGCCATTAAGTGCTACATTAGAACTGCATTTGTGATCGTCACATTTAAGGGTGTGTTTAGACTTATCAAAATTACCTTAGCTCTTGGCCCACTTCACCCCCAAAATTTTAAAATTTTGAAAACGGTTAGTAAAACCATTTAAAGGTGATAGGAGTCAAATTTTTGCTAGAAAGGAAAGCTAAATCTGTTAGTCATTAAAATTTTTAGTTTGGCATCTCACACATGCAAATAAGTTTCACTTGAAGGTCTAGTTACATTATGAGTTCCCTATCACCCTTAAAAGTTTTATTCAAGCAATATATATGTACATTACCATTCAATTATGCACAGCCAGCCTTTGATCCAGAAAAAAAGAATTACTTTAAGCCGCTTACTCCTTATTTTAACCAGCAGTAAACTGTATAAGCAGGAAAAACTTACTAGTTTTGGGTTTCAACAAGCTAGAAATGGTGAGGTGAGGCTGCCGGACTGACGGCCAGGAAGAATTTGCTGAAAAGGTTTTGCCAGATGTTGCGTTGGATTTAGTTGGTTGGCGAAGGGGGTGTTGTGGATTTTTCCTGCTTTTTTGTTAGCCGAAGGCTGCTGCTGTAGTTGTTGTGAAGACATTTGGTAAATAAACAGCTGAGCTGATTGGCCAGGAATGTGTGGGCGGTCGAGGTGGCTGCTGCCGATTTGGTTAAGGTTGGAGAGAAGGCTGAGAGAAAACAGCATGCTCGGGAACCAAAGGGCGGTGCAACCTGACGACTGGCCATGCCTGGGTCATGTGAAACGACACCAGCCAAGCTGAATGGGGCGCGCTGGTCACATGACGCTGAAAGGGCTAGTTGACTGGCTAATGCAGACTCAGAGGGTGGTGAGAAGAGACATGATGGTGACTCTGTAACGGGGTTCATTTTTATTAATAGATGGACCAAAAAGCACAAAAAAAAATGAAAAAAACAAGCCATCAGTACAACCATCTATTAGCTAACAAATACTCTATTATGATGGGCAACAGTGTGTTGTTTTTCAAAACAGCAAAAGGGGCAAGATTTTGAACTCCTATCTCCTAGGACTTCACTCACCTTTAAGAGGTAAATTCAGTCCTTCAGAAACTATTTTGGAGATTTGAGGAGATGTGGACTTAGCATCCAGACACCACTGCCTGGTCCAAGAATGATGCCATTGTCAATTATAAAAAAACTGATCTCTCTCCTATTTGGGTATGAAGAATAGATGACTGGGATTACTTTTATAGCCCCCTTTATTGGTCAGTGACTTAAGTTAGTTTCAGAAAGATTTCTATTTTACCAGTTGTAACATTAAAACAGCTGCCTGATTGATAAATATTACAATCGTGCTAATAGAAAACACATTTTTTGGTGAAGAGCTAGAGTTGAATGTAATGTTTGTCATTATGGAGTCAAGAAATGGAAAAAGGCCTAAATTGAAGTATAAGGGAAGACTTGGAAAGATGCAACTAGAAGATGAACTAGAAGATAGATCCAAGATAGAAGTTACTGACTACCAACATGAACCTAAAGACAAAAGCCAACACTCAGCACAACTCACATACCCCAAACTACACCCAGCAAATGCTTCATAAAAACCTCCGGTTCTTCACAATACATTTAAAACCCACCAACAAACTTTGAGAGAAGTACCTGCTCCTATTACCTACTCCATTACACCAATACCTCTAGTCACGCTCTCTCTCAAGTACCTGCGGCGAGGTGGCGGACTCCTTCGCCGATAATCATCTCGAGGGCGACGACCCCAAGAGGGAGGCGGGCCTCGATTTCGACTTCTCTTTTCACCATTCGACAGTTCCACTCTTACTCGGCAGCCACATAGTGTTCTAGGGAGAAAAAAGCATTATTACATTTAAAGCAGCCAAACTGACTTTCTAAAAGATGTTCAGTAAAGCAAAGAGCACTTCTAGTTAAGAACACATTTGAATGCCTGCAGAGTCCTTAATGCCAAAACAGGTTTCAGTTCCCTGATTTTCTTCAAGGAAACTAACTTCCCTACATTTTATTGTTTTGTTAAGTCAGTCTGATCACTGGGCTCAATGTTAATTTGTTAGCAGTTGTAATTTAAGTGTGAAAACACGTAGACTAATCTTTACGGAACGACTTCATCTATACATCCTGTGACTTCTTCCTTTGTGGTCCCATCACTTGTTTATGCATCTTACACTATACAGTGGGGCCTTGACTTACTAGTGTCCCGACTAACGAGCTTTTTAAGATACCAGCTGTCTCTCGGCCGATTTTTTGCATTGAGTTGATAGAGTAATTTGAGTTAACGAGCTCCTTAACGAGCTCGGTCTCAGAACGAATTAAACTTGTAAGTCAAGGCCCCACTGTATATTTGCTGGTCTCTCTACTCCACCCCTGTCCATGTAAACAGCAATAAATAGGACATTTGGCCATTTTATTTTATATCACCCCTCTCCCTCAATTATCACACAATAGTTGACATAAATTCCAACAGCCATTATATTTGGATTAAGCCGCAGTGACTGGGAAGAGGTGCAACCCTGGAAATATGTTTCTGCAATCTGCTTGGATAAACAAGCTTTTATACAGCCAACCCTCCAAACATTTAATTTTAGGATTCAAATCCAATGGTTCAAAATGCCAAGTAGAAGGGGCAACACCTGCTCGCTATTAAGACGCGGTATTAGCACCAGCTGGGGAACTGCTATACAAGCCAGACTTCCTAAAAGCAGCACTCCAAACAGTAAAAGATAACGGTGCAATACACCCCACGTAGGCACCACCCAGCTACAATTATCAATACAGGGCCATTCTTAAAGAAAATGTGATTCCACAGCTGTTTTAGAACAGTTGACACTGAAGAGAATTTAGATTAAAATGTTTTGACCATTTTTTGGATGCAGCTGTCCACCCATCAAGAATTGACCATTAAACCTAATTATTTTCCTCAATGACCAACTGAATAAAAAGAATCCTGCTACGTATCTCCACTAAAACTGTTCGGTCCTTTTTTTTTTATTGCAAAAAAGGTGTACACAAATTTCCAGTAACATCTGTTTCAGATAACCAAGAAGCCCCTCAGAACCATTATCCTAGAGATTTTTAAACATTAAAAACTTCAGCGACATTATGATTAAATTACCTCCCGTCTAGCTCTCGGACAGCATCGGCTGCATCTCGGGGATCTTCAAACTCCACGAAAGCAAAGCCGGGAGGGTTTCTAGCAACCCACACACTCCTGAGTGGCCCATAATAGCCAAAAGCCCGTTCCAGCTCAGTCTTGTTACCGTTGTTCCCAAGATTTCCCACATAAACCTTACAATCCAATGGACAGGAATCACGATGCATTTCTGTAAAAATGAAAGACAAAACCAAAATATGGAAGATTTAACCAAATAATCTACATACACAGTGAGAAACAGACCCTTAGGAAAGACTGCCAGAATACTAAAAACCTAATTAAAACTACCACCCTCGAAACACCCGTTTCTCCGTTAAATGAGACTGAGGTGCATACGTCCCGATCCCGTCTATTATGAAATGTCCGAGGCAGGTGAACGCAGAGCCAGGCTCTCGGGAGTGAGCCGCACGTTAGGGGCTGGGGCTGAGCCACTGGAGCCGCGCCCCCATCACCCGAGGCCGGTTTCAATGGCTGCAAAGAGCGGCCTCTCAACACTCGGTGTAAGGACCATTCTCACCCCCGGTTCTTCCCCTGCTCGGCTTAATCCGATTAAAAAACCAGCCCAGACACATCCTATTGGCGTGACCCCGCCCTGTGCCCGGGAGGTGAGACCAAACCACGGCTGCAGACTGATTTAAAAAAAAAAAAACTCCCTGTGACCAGCTTCAGGCCTACGGGCTACCGGGACGCAGCTACAAAAACAATGCTGCCCACAGAAGATGGGTTTAAAAAAAAAAAAAAAAGGCTGGGTTCAAGGAGTAAAAAGTGGAGTCGAATTAAAATTACATGAAAATGTGAGTACAGAAACCACTTCCTGTGGATCGAGATTTCCAGTCTTTTTATAAATTAATTCATTATTGAAACTATTACAAGATGTCCCCTTTTTTGCCTCCATTGGCCCCTTCCACCCCGCCCAGGCCACAATCCCAGCCTTGATAGAGCCCAGGGACAAAAACCCTGGGAGCTTCAGAAAACGTGGGGCGGAAAAAAAAAGGCGCCATAAATTGAAAGGCCGCGCGGCCTGGCGTACGACTCGGTACCAGGTCCCCCGCTGCCTTGGTCCTCGGGCAACCTCACCCTCCGGCGCATCCCCCCACAAAGGTCCACGAACCCCTTCCCTCCAGGCCGGGGCCCGCCCGGTGGGCTGCCAGCCCGCCGCCGCCCGCGCCGCACGTCACAAAATGGCGGCGGCGGCCCTTTGTCTCCATCTGGCGCCGCCATGGGGCCCGGCTCCACCTCGGCCCTGTTACGTCCCACTTCCCCCTTCCCTCCTTCGGACCCGGCCTCTTACCGAGATCTGGAGTGAGAAACGCGGCGGCTGAAGTCCACACACCCTCGGACGGCTCCCCGGCTCCCCTCCGCCCGGCTCCACAGGTCCCCGCACCTCCCCGGCGTCCACGAAATGGCGGACCACCGCCTTCCCCTCGCCCTTATTTATACGCCATGCTGGAGTCACGTGATTGGACAGGCTTGCCCAATGAGCGGCGGAGGAGGCCGTGACGCAGCGGCTGCGAACGCGACGAGCGGCGCGGTGGCTGGGAGCGCGCTCGGGCCGCGCCGGGGGGTCTCGGGGCACCCGGCCTCCGCGCGCCCGCGGCCCCGCGCCTGGCGCTCCCCCGGGGTTCCTCCTCCGTCTCCCCATCTTCCCGCCCCCCCTTCTCCCCAGATGGTCGGCGCTGTTCACACAGCGGCCGCCACCCCCCTGAGCTGATGGAGCCGCTGGCTCCTGATAGGATTGAGGTCTCGGATGAATCCAACACCCGATCCCCGCCCGCGGCGGGGGAGGAACCGGGACCCGGGCGCTTACTGACGCGCTTCCGAGTGGCTCCAAGGTCACGGAGGGGTGACCGGGCTGCCGCCGGCCTGTGGCCTCCAGGTCCTGTTCTTACGTGAAAGCCTGCGCGGGAGACGCTCACTCGGAGCTTGTCCACCGCTCGCATCCTTTCTCTGATTGAGCATGTTCAGGTTTGTAACTAAATGCTCAGTTGTGGATCTTCGTATTATATCACACTACAGGGCCCATGCACACAAAATCGGGCACCGGGAAACAGTCCTTGTAGCCCCCAGCTTCGCTGAGGGTCCTTCAGTATCACGACCAATCAGCAAATACGCTTCATTATTATAGAGACCTCTACGCGTCTTCCACAGTCAAAGCGTTTTTGTTTCCGGGGGCGCCAGGCACCATTAGAGAGACACCACCTTGTGAGTTAAGACTCAAAGAGAG